TTCAGTGCAAATAATAAATGATAGTGCATAAAATAATGCAATATTTACTTCAAAGTCTCAAATGACATTTGACTGGAAATTGGTTTTATATACCTATTTACTTCCTTTAATATCTAAGATATACCAAATGTTCTTTGTAAATACTGAAGGTGAGGTGAGTCACTAGTTCAACAGAACAACCCACTGAGGATTTGATGATAATGCAACTAACCCTGGTACTGCTACATTTTTTTTTAAGTGTTAAAAGATCAGAAGAAGAAAATTTGGTGTCATCAAAAAAATCAATAGACACATCAGGAAAAACAAAAAATGCAATTACAAGCTCCAGAATTTGCATATTTCAGTCTTAATATTTATCTAATACATATTTAATATGTGTATTTTAATGTAATTTCAGCTTTAACAGATTGCAGCATTTCCAAAAGAACTGTCATGAATTGTCTTTGTTGAAGCAAAGCTTAATTCCTGTATCAGTATTTAAATTCACAGATTTCACCCCTATATTTACAAGTCTTGTAAACTAATTGTAAGCATAATGGTCCATCTGCATTCTACAAAGCACTAAAGCCAACACAGAAAAAATTCTATTAGTAATTTTAAGAATAAATAGTTAATAAATGGTTTATGAATGTGCTATATTTTAAAAAGAATAATTTTAGTGTACTGCTACTAAAATTATGAAAGGAAATAATTTGTATAAACATCACTGATAATTCACTACTGGAGGTCATCTAGTTGAATCTCCCTGCTGATACCACATGACAAACTCAGTCATTATGACTCTCATAAAGAGGTAAAACGTTGCCCTAAAGAACCCACATGGCACTCTGTGCTTAGTTGGTTGACCAAAGGTATTTTTTCCTACACACTTTTTGCTATGGAAACAAATAAACCAGTAGCAGCAGCAGCTTGCCATCTGCTGACACATTTTCATCTGTCACCATCTTCTGTACCACGTTTTATCTTTAAATTTGCATAGGAACACCTAACCACCCTCCTCCTTGCCCCAGTGTGATAGCTTCAACAATGTGCCTGTGTGGAAAGTATGAAGTAAGGCAGTGAGTGCTCCTTCAGCAACACCTTGGTGCTCAGGCAGGCAATCATTTAGGATTCTATCACTCATTTTCCTGGCTGGAGAAAGTAAAAGATCATTGAAGCTGGAGAACCATCACTTCAGGTGAAGTACCCTGCTGTAAGATCAGAGTGCTATTGAGCTACAGACAAAGTGCAGCGTTTAGAAGAAGGGAGGAAGGAGATTGATGTCTGGAGCAGTGGAATTTATTTAGGATAATACAAAACAGTAATTTTTAGTCACAGATTTTAAGAAATGAGATCCAAGAGTTGCTGGGATGACTCACATACACATACCTTTCAATGAAAAAAAACAGAGTGACATTTTCACAGCAGAAAAAAGAAGCAAACTGAGCATACACAGGAAAGAGCAAGAAATTAAGGACACACTCTCTAGATTGGATGAAAAGATAGTTGCAGAAGTCTGATCTAAATGGCTTATACCTGGCTCTTTTTGGGCTGACAAGGGCTGCACAGCACTGCTGATGTTTCACAAGGAATGAGTTCAGTCTTCCCTTGGCACATAAACTGGAGAAATACGGTTTTGTTTCTACTATGGCATGAATACAACCTCTGAGACTGAAAAAATCCCCTTAGGAACATGCTATAGCGGGATCTTAACATGATAACTGAATAACTGTTCAGCTGGGGGAATTTTAACAAGACTGTAATAAAGCTCTTACTATTGTTCAGTCTGATCTATTAGAGAATCTTTTCTCCATCTAGCTTCATTTAAGCTTTTTCCCTCCCTGTTCCTCTGTCCCCGAGTAAATCCAATCAACTAAGCAGCTATTTAGTTAAAATCCTCTGAGGGTCAAAGTCCTCAATTCCTTCAGGACTCTTACAATCATATCATCATTTCTTCAACTCTGTTTTTACTAGATCATTGATTATTTTTTTTTGCCCTTAGGGCTTTTTGAAACTGCTCCTCTGGTACTATTTTTGCTATAGCCTGTTGTGCAGTGAACATTGCCCAGGCCTGACACACACAGTTCTGTGCCTCTGACAGGCCATTAGAGCCAGCCTCCACTGTGGGGAGAACTGCATCAATTTTGATTGTTTTATTTAATTTTTTTCCCCACCTTTGGCACTGAGATTAATGCTGTAATTCTCTGAAGTCTGTTGGCTAGCCTGGAGAATGTGTATGGGTATAGCTGCTATCCTGTCAGCTGGCAGTTGACTCCAACAGTTAGCCAATGTGAAACTGGAGGGCACACTGGGCAGGAATTCCAGCACTTCAGTATATCCTGGGTCTGCACAAATATCTGATCTAAAACGTGGGCTGAGGAGACATTCTCCCAATAGCTATCACATTTTGCTCAACCAAAACCCCAAAGAAAAGGCATGCACTGTTGGGAACCAACATCTGAGGCAGCCAGGACTTGCAGCAGCTAAGGGGAGAGAAGGAAGAAGCAAAACCACATGGCTACTGGAGGCTGTCATGAAAACAAATGCCTGCAACAGGGAATGATAACAGCAGATAGCAGGACATCACAAGAAATTGGTGGAGGCTTTGCATGAATTTCTCAACCAAGATAGGCCCTTTTTATACAGAATTAGGTGCTGGAATCTTTCCCATATCCTGGGAGAGCAGAATGCTGTTTCGTTCAAGGAAGTCTTGGGTGAGACCTGCCAGATGAAACTGCTAAGTTTGAGGTATAAGCAGAATTGCCACAGTAAGACTGATCCCACTGGCTTTACTTCAGGGTAGCCCTGTCAGTCACCAAAAACAATACAGGATTCCTCAGTAACTGATTATGTGTTGTCATTTGGTAAGAGCTGATGAATTGATTGTATTTGTTCTCTTGTGTTTTGCAGGGGTATTACTGTTGTGTTTGGCTAGGAGATAGAAATGGGAGAAAGTGCTGTTAATAGGTCCTGGCACGAGCTAATTGGAACAATGTGTTACACAAAACTGCTTATTACACTGCACTGCTCTGCCTGTTTTTCTGGTATGGCACAAAGTACATCTGCCAAGAACCTTGGTTCCAAGTAATTACCCCCTAGCATGAGAACATGAGTAGCCACAGCAGAATTTGATAGGCTTTAGCACATTTGTAACTCCAAATAAACCTCTCCCGTTCAGCTACTTCTGAAGCAGCACTGAAAGATGAGCTACAGGTTGAACTTTTGTCCTCTTTCAGAAAGAGTGCCATAGGTTAAAACCCAGATATGTTAACAGAAATAGTGTCTTACCACTGTAGTTTAATTTTCCACTCTTACTGGCATTGCAATGGTAATCAAGTGGTAAAGTTTGAAGGGCAACCTTTAAAAAAACAAGCGCCTTAATGCCATACTTAACTTGGGATGATAATAAAGTTGGTTAATTTTCACAAACTCACATGAGAAAAAGAGTAGATGAAAATACTGTTTCAAAAGCAGGGATGCTATCATTCTGGCTGCATGGCCGTGTACTCAGAAGCATTAAGTTGCTGGAATTTACTGCCCATTACTTCTTTCCTGTCTTGAGTATATGGCATTTAAATGCAACAATGAGCTAACATCTGTATATTCCAGAAAGAAGGCGGCTGATAAATATTAATGAAATTTGCTCCTCATGTATCTTATGAATTTTTATGTATTCTTTCATCTAGGGGCATCATCGTACAACTTTCATATAAATGACTGCATAGATCCCATTTCAACCTTGAATTTCCACTTTGCACACAGGCCCCTGCAGAGGGAAAGCAAACAGAGCCCTCACTAGGCTGACAACTCTGACTACTGAAAAGCCTCTAACCCTTCACAGAAGTGGCCTTTTCTTGTCTGTTTAAAGAACAGTGGTAAGACAAATTCTCTCCCTAAACAGATTAATTTTAACTCAGCAGCACGGGAATGAGTCCTTACTAGATTGCCTTCAGCTAGGCTCACTGCCCCCTTGCACCTCCCCATGCAGTCAGGCACCATAAACACCATGCAATAGATCAGCAGTATTAAGCCACATTTCATGGTGTGTAAGAGGAAAGGAAATAGAAAATCTCTACTGGTAAATAAGGCCATCCTTGAATACACCAATATTTCTCAAGTGCAAAATGCTTACTCTTTTCTGTATTTTTCCCCATTCCAAATTCATGAGCTCTGTGCTTGTGAGCCTTTTTACAAGAAAATAGCAAAAAACCTTTTTAGATAAATGCAGCCCACTTCAGAATACTGTGGCAGTCTGATCCCTGCAGAGAGAAGCTTAAACAAAAATCTGAAGTTAAATCTTACCAAATGTAATGTGTAGCTTGTGGGTTTTGCTTCTATGATACAAGGTTCACTCCCCACAGAACAACTTAAATACACAGGGAAGTATGTAGGGCTTTTTTTAAGCTTCAAAGTTCTTAAAATAAACAAGCAGAAAAGAAGAAAAGAGGTACTCTGTAAAATACAGTAACTATCATGGTAATTTCTGCAGTGTCTTCTGCAGTTACAAACCAATCTTAGCATTTTGTGCATTAAAATATGTAATTTAAAAATTACTGTATACAGACATATGCAACCCTCAAGATTTATTCCACTGAGTATTGATTGCTGTTTCAAATCTTTCCTTGACATTGGTTAATCATGGCAGTTGAATTCTTTAACCCTAGAGATCAGAGCTGGGTTTGGGGCAACAGTAAGCGTAAAATATCCTCATCACACACCATCTTACCCTTCATCTTCAGTGAGTCCTTGGTGTTCAGTCCTTTCATCACCAGGTGAAGCACATGGTGCACATGAGGGAATTATATTTCTCTATTCTTTGCTGATTTAGTTAAAGCTCCATTTTATTACATGATTGTTTTGGAGTGATTTAACATGATTTAACAGAATCACTGTTTATCCAAATTCAAGCTAAGACTCTGAGCCAGCCATGCTGGCCTGCTACCAGGTAGCTCAAGCACACAGCTGAGAAAAGAGCACACCCCCCTGAAAAATCAAGTAATGCTTACATGAAGAGGCCACTGTCAAAGCAATAACTCAGCTTCAGACATCAGGAACAGAACTGCTGATCATGAAAGAATCGGAGCAGACAATCAGGAATCTCTGTAAAGGCATCTGCACACATATGAGTAAGATTTCTTCCTTGCACATCTTTAAAATACAAGCACTCATACAGAACTTGCCAGCTCAAAATTACGTTATTGTACCATAGTGTTTTCAAAGGCATAATGAGACTGAAGAAAGAATACAGAAAGTCAAACAATTTTTAAAAAAATCCCATGCCAATAGCTATAGAACAGAAAAGTTTGTTTTTGACACAGTCATGGCCTTTGAGCTGATTAAATAACTTCTAACCAGATTGAATACTTAGGCTGTTGGATGATTTTTATTTTGATGCAGAAACCTGTCTCTTCTAAAAATGCAATTTGAGGCAATTGCTTAAAATTGCACTGATCTCCACCCTTGGAACATATTAATTTTTTAATGGAAATGGACAAGAAAAAGAAAAAGAACAGTTATCTTACTGTAGTGTTCAGCCCACCACAAGAAAAAAATTACTGAAAATTATAAACTCATAGGCATAACCTACTGAAGATCTTCCAGCAAATTCTAAGATGCTTTGATCTTTAATTCTTACAAACTGAAGATGCTATCACAGCCTTTGTGCAGCTATCATAGTAATAAAAAAAATTACATGAATTTTCATTATCATAAAGGCTGAAGTCTGCCATATTAAGGACATGACCTTTTTTAACAAAATACTGGCTGTACAGTTGTAGCTGTCACCTATTCCAACAACAACAAAAAAAAAGGCAAAAAAGTAATACACTGATATATGTCTGCATGACTTGCAGCAATTGCTGGATGGTATGTTGGGAAAGCAAAAATGCTCAAGAAGTCACTGACACTTCCATGCATGAGGTGCTGGCAAACCCAGGACCACTCTGACCTGTAGCAGAAATGGGGCCTTTCTTCTTCCATTAGCTTGTTCTCTAAGGTAACTGAGAGCAGAGATGTTACTGTCAGACAGCCACTGTCTTCCTCTTGCTACCACCGATGTGTGCCACTGAACCGAGCCTCTAAATATTCCTCAGTTGCCATGGAAGCTGTGGGAAGAGCAATATTACCCCAATACACGAAGGGAACTGATAACTAAAGGTCCTTATAGTGGGCTTCCTATCTGCTTTGAATAATTGAGCAAGTCAGATTGAGGGCAAATACCAAACTGCTTAAACATGAATTCTTATCTGCTGACATTTCCTCATACAGATTCTCTAGTTAAACTTGCATCTAAATTTTAACTTTTAAAAAAAATTTGCTCAAAGGGCACTAAAATATTTCCAATTTATTTATTTTTTTTTTTTGGTGATTGGGATTTTTTTCAGTGTTGTTTGTTTGGTTGTTTTTTTATTGTTTTAAGCTTTAGTTTCACAATTACTTTGGTACTGTGCTAATCTAGAAGATTTTTAGTAAGCTGATTATTGAGCTGGAAAACACATTTTAGAGAGGAGTTTGACTTTAAAACCCAAACTCATTTCAGAGTTGAAAGGCCACATCTTTATACAGCCTTCACAAGGGCTGAGAAATCACCACCACAGACCCAACCCTAACAGCAATGGAGCTGTCAGATAGCATGTAGAGTGCACAACAGACAGCTGCATGTTCAGAACCTGAATAGACAAGAATAGTATTTTTGCATAAAACCAGTGTGTAACAGCTGATTTAAACATACTTAACAGTATGGGTAGTTCTGTTAGGAACATATTTGTGTTTTATAATGATGAGAAAATAGATTTCTTAATATAGAACACATACTGTCCAGCTCTTTCCTTATGCTGTTACATATTCATAAGAAAGCTGTATCAGCACTACACTATCAGAGAAAAATTTGGGTTGAAAAATAAAATCCACAGCATCTAAACTATTCAGTGTAACCTTAAAATATGCCGTCTTGGATAAAAATAGATGATGGTATTTTTCACCACCTTATGGTACAACACAGATCTTGCTCATGAGATCATTAGAAGGTTAAACACCACCTCCCCACCAGTCCTGGAAAACTGAAGCCAATGTAATTTTCTTTTAAAAGATTGCTTGTGTTTGACACAATTATACATGCTAAACAGTCTTTCAGGCATGCATTTACATTGAAATTCAATGTAGGATTTAGACTTGGCAACTGTGGCCAGTTCCTGCCAGTTCAGAATCTATGGGAATTCAGAAAAGAAATTGATATTCCCACAGTGTGCCCCTACATTGTCTAATCCAAGATGACTACTAACCTAAAGTCCTAGTAAATGAAATAATGTCAGCATTATAAAACTTACAATTTATATCCATTTGAACTTACAATACCCTTTTGATTAATCATTCTTGATCTATTGCACATCAATAATTAAATGTCTTCCAAAATGTCAATGCTTATCAGAAAATTACTTAGTTGGGAACACATTAGCCTCATAATTTACCTAATATTTATCTTTAATACCTGAATTTATGATCATATTTCTTATAAAGATTAGTGGTGAATTAGATGCTTAAAACTTAGATCATGAACCTGCAGAAAAGAAAAAAGGTGCATAAGCTCTGAAGAGAGCATCTGAAGTATATATCAAAGGATTAGGGAAGGAGTTTTACACCAAGAATTACAGGAATACCTGGAATAGGCAAATAAAAAATACCAACATTAAAAAGAAGTTTCAAGAATACTTTCTCCAGCAGCAACAAAATTTATTCAGTTTCCTACAACCAGCATGAATTATCATACTTGTCTTTCAAGTGGAATATATCAGGCTAGCCATGAAGAAAAATACATTTTAAAATTATCAGTTAGATCTTGTCCTGCTTTGCAAACAGAAAGATTTTTTTTTTAAAAACTGAATTTCTACTTTTCTGAGCAGCCACTGTGCAGAGCTGACTTTTAAAAGAACTCATCTTACAGAAGGATTAATAAAGGGACTTGGCATTTATAGGACTAATATGAAGATCTCCAATTACATTAAACAGAACAGAAATACTTCAAGGCATCCTGTGGTTAGGAAAGAACTTTTCCTTAGAGCAGCTTATTCCATAATTGTCCACTGTGGGAGTTTTAGCACTTTTCTCCAAGATCTAATACTCTCCACTGCTGGAGACAGAAACACTGGGACAGATATATAATTGTATGGGTCAAATTTGGAAATACTTTTTAAAAAAAAGAAAAAAAAAAAAAGGAAAAGGCTTGTCTAGCTGCAAAATTTTTTGCAGGAGTTGCTCGTACTTATTGAGGGCTCAGACCAAATAGCAACTCAGCACTGCTGAGAAAGTTGCAGGCGTAGCTGCCCTCCTGGCTGCTGCCATTAGTAAAAGCCACTTGTCAGCCAACTCCTTCCATAAAATGAGGGTGTTTGAAACAAATGGCACCACTTGTAGCTGGTTTATACCTTTTACACACAGAGCAGATGAAGCTTTAAAATTACCGTGGCTCTCATATTCAGGAGTTGCATATTTTTTGAAAACTGGGAGAGAGAATATATAAACTGTATGTCTGAGAACATAAATAATTGCCTACTCATTTCCCAAGTGTATTTTTGGTTACATTAATCAGAAGCAGACCCAAATTCTGCCACAGTCAATATACTTTTAGAATATTCCTTTTGTTTCTGCTTCCCTGTTTCTCAACCTGCTAAGACACCTCGAGTTTGTAGTTTTTGTTGTTGCTGCTGCTGCTGCAATTCTAGGGGGTGTTCATCAGAATATGCCAGGACAGGCAGAGATGTAGCTAATGAAAATGGAAGTTATTATTGTCTTGTTTGTATTCTCCTCATCATAAAGAAATGTACCTAGTGCAAACATCACTGTTTTCTAAAAGGAACCCAAGACGTAAAAACCTCCTGAGAAATGAATAGAGATATGGACACCACACTCCTAGCCCTGGGGATTAAATATTCTGATGCTTTCTGGGAGCACACTGCCTTTTTCTCAATTCTGAGCATGAAGTACTGTAGGCACTCAAACACCTTTATTAAAAAAGAAAAAAAATAAAAAAAAAAATCACACAGCATAGTTGCCATCTGTAGGCCTGGAGAAGGCTCAGGAGACTGCAAAAGAAAGGATTGTTTTCAAGAGATCCATGCAATGAGTGCAAGTGAATTGCAGAGTGAAGGAATGGGCATCAGGAATTATTTAAAACTTCCATGTTTAATTAAGGTAGGAAGCTGGACAGAAGGCTTTATATACCTTTATGTTATTAGTAGGGCAATCCAATGATAACACTTCAAATATAATACTATCACAGACTTGTTTTTCATGTAGCATCTTTAACAGGTCTGAAAAAAGAATTTAAAATGTCCTCATGTGCCTCTATTCTCCTTTGTCCTCTTAAGACAGCAGCTTCAAAGCCCAGGAAAAAAAATCAAATAATTACTCTCACATTTTATATTGCTATTTCTGCACTCAGATCCAACCCAGTCAGGAGGTGATTGCCACAGATATTCAATACAGACTCTGTGCCTAGCAGAAAGAGAAGCTGCTGGGGAGTCTGGAAATACGGTGTTATCCCATAAAATAAAAATTGGAAAAAATTCAAGAGCAAGGTGGAAGGTGTATTATGGATAAATTTTCTAAAATACTTCCATACGAGAGGTTAAAAGGAACATCTTATACTCCTAGAACTAATCCATGTTTGAATTTGAAAATAGAGTCAAGTTCTACCATAGATGTCATTTAGAAAATCTGTCCTTGATTGTGGCACACTTTGCCAGTGATAATCACTGTATTTCTCTCAATTTTTCCTAACTTCCACCCGTTAGACACATTTGTCAGCTGGACCGCAAAGCCCTCTAACATCACATTTCTGTTCTCTGTCCAATACTAATCTAAAGTAATCTGGTTCTTTCTTAACAATTTCCTTGACCAACAGAACCAATAGAAATCCTCTAGGAAATCACAGCAAGGCTCTCACCTGAGACCTTCTCAGATCGCTGTTTCCTTCTTGTACTAGGGACTTCAGGATTAGACACAGTCCTCCAGAAGCACTCATACCAAATTCAATATCTAAAGGTGGCAATTATCCACTTATTAGCCTCTCTGCTGCCTTGGGAGTTGATGTTCAGCTGATAGCTGCTGTGATTGAGAGATGCAGCGCTGCTGTTTGACCTGATAATATAACTCAACCAGAGGAACACTGCACACATTCCTTCTCTTCACCATTTGAACTCTCTCCAGCAAGGGGAGGGAAGATTCTGTCCTGCTTACTGCAGTTCCATATTCATCTGTTTGTTCACCTGCCACAAGTTTGTTTTGGCAAAGAAAAAACTGACCAGCCTAAGACTCAAAAAGTATGAGGCTTGTTGAAATTACTTGTCTAACCCCATCATGACAGGGAAATCTCAGCGCTTTATATTAAACCACGAGGCACTTGCTCAGCACTGATAAGGAAAAAATACCCATATGAAAGAGGGGTTCTCATGACAAGGGCTGACAAGGCAGAAGAATGAACAGATAAGTGAGATTAAAAGGAGTTTGTCATTCATACAGAGCTTTTCAACAAATCGCTGAACTAATGTTTCAAAGGCTAAAGGAAAAGTTTTTCAAGAGGAAAGGAAAAGCTTCAGCAAATTAAATTGCTTTCACAACTAAATGCTCTGTAAGCTGAAAAATTGCAGGCAATTGCCAGAATATTCTACAAATGGAGCAAAGATTAAGGCATATGGTATGGAGAAAAAAACTTTGTTATGTGACCAAGACAACTCCATCAAATACAATGCTCCCTTCTTCCATAAGGCAGGTAGCAGACTTACAACCTAAAAAAGTCACTTACTGATGGGCTGCTGACACATTTATGGCCACTGGTTTGGTACAGCCAGACAAGAGACCAGGTGCAACCCACAAATCTGCATGAAGGTGATAATGAAGTGTGTGCTCACAAGAGAGGGAAACTGAATGCAAACCTGTGCTATGACAGGGACCGTCCACCACATGCATGTGTTTGCAACCTTTTGAAAAGCTGAATTTTGAATTCTGAATTTTGAAAAGCTGTAGGGTTGTTGTAGGTCTAACTAACATTACTTTGTAGTCAGACTCTGAAATAAACCTGAATCATAATGGCTGGTCAGAATCTCCATCA